ATAGACATGCACGCCGACCCCACTTTCGGCGGCGGCGGCGTGGGGCCCAAAATTTGCCGGCGGCGGCGGCGCACGCCGGCGTCACGCCGATGCTCTAGTCGGCGGCGGCGGCGGCGGCGTGGGCGGCGTGAGATAGCTTAAAATGCCTTAAATACCTCGAAAATTCGAAAAAAATGCATAATTAGCAAAGCAACACGTTACTTTACGTTCTGAGAAGGAAAATAGGATACAAAGTCATAGTGACAGTCAAAAATATATAGAGCCAAAATAGGTAAAAATTAACGTCAATTTTACTAACAAGTCATAAATATAACTTTGGTAATTGGTATGTAAATATAGTTATACATACAAAGATCTTTCATGAATTGAAAAACAGTATAATCACACACATATTATTGAAAAAGTTTGCTGCATATGTCATAATTTTCATGAATGAAAATTATGATATCAACACGGTCAGGGTTCAACCTAGAGCGCTTTGCAGTGATGGTCAATCCAGCTATGGAAAACACTCTTTCAGCAGTAGTGGATGTGGCCGGGATACACAAAAATTTGCGGACAGCTGTACTTAGCCACGGGTATTGCTTCAGTCGCCCGCGCCAGAACGCCAAAACGTCATTGTCTTTTACGTCGTCCGGGTTGCAGGAGTCCAGGTAGAGTCGGACCTCCTTGTCCACAGCTTCGGCCCGAGTGCCGTCTTGTGATTTGGAATGCTTGCGGGAGAGATTCATTAATTCTTCTGCCGTAGTGGCGCTCTTCCTCTTGTTTCGCGATGTGCTTGGGCCGGGCTGTGCCTGCAGCTCCTCCACTGGCTCCTCGCGTCCACGCCGCGCTTCATCCGGAAGGTGCGATTCGAGGACATTGTACCGCACTTGCCTCGCCAAGAACTCAGCCTTTGATTCGCCGAGCACTCTAAGGTACTCGTTGACAATAACGAGGTTGGCGCACCGTGGGTCTAGAAGAGCGGCAGTGACGAGCAGGTCATTCACGGGAAACCTAAAATCCAGTCTATCGCGTAGGCGTCTCTTGAGGTCTCCTACTACAAGTGAGTCCTCCTCGTCCTCTTTTAGGACATCCTCCAGCTCTGACCTGTAGCGGGGAATAAAAACATTAATATTTGGAAATACGCAATATAGGGAAGGGATAGGCGTGGGAAGGGGGTAGAGCGTTAAAATAAAGCGGGAAATTGGGCACTGCGAGGCGGATAAGTTCCACCTGGCACGGCACGACAGCCAGGCGCCGCGGGTGCAGGGTGAGAGTGAGAGACGGACGTCGTCAGCGCGCGGCCATCGGAAGGCGGAGGACAGGCACCAGGCCAGGCTCGACGCCTACCTCCACCTACCTCAGGATCGGGCGGGGGAGGAGAGGACCCCTCCCGGCCCGGAGGCCGTGAATGAGCTGGGTCAGCTGGGAGGGCCGAATTCGAACACACGCGGTAGATGCGATGCACGGCACAATTACCCGTTTACTTTTATGCTCTCAAGAGATAGGGGTGGGAGTGGAGATATTTTTTTTTACCTGAGAAGCAAGGCGAGATTCAGAGTGCACGATTCCGCGCTCAATATTTCTACTGCTCTTCGAAACGCACTCAGGAACCCAATCATGGACTTCATGGTGCTGTATTGGGCGTTGCTGAAGTGCAGATCCTCTTTGCCAACCTCACTTAGTACAATGTTTACTGGGCCCTGTAAGTTTCAGGCACATAATGCATCATCACGCTCAATACCGCAAATCTTAATATTTGTTTTAAGGAAAAGTTACCTTATTTTGCTCCAGACTCTCGAGCATTATCAAAACAGTGTGCCATCTTGTGGGCACGGGCAGCTTTACACTAGTTGGAGCGGCAGCGATTGGGTATTGCAGAAACATCTCATCTCCGTTCGACGTCTGGTTCTGGTTCCGGTCCTGTCCACCACTGCCTGCGGCCGCGGCCGCGCCACCCGCGGTTGAGTCGTCAGCGTCAGGAGGATCAGGGATGGGGTCCGCGTCGTCCGTCGCTGCGTGCTCGTCGGCGTCCACAACAGCCTTCAGCCAGTCCAGTCCCTGCTCCTTCTTGTTTTCCCTCTCAATGACTGGGGCTCTGTACCGTACGGCCTTGCACACTGCCCTGGCCTTTTTGCATAGTTCGTCGACGACTAAAGCTCCCTTAATGCCATCTTTGCTTACAAGATTGTGCACGCCGTGCCCTGGAAGGAATTAAAAGAACAAAAATTAAGCTCTGAACCACTTGACTCGGTGAACTGGCACCGCTAAGCTCAAGAAAAGTCGCGGTCGCAAATGGGTACATACCAAGGCAAAGATGATGAGGAGCTCCCATGGTTTGAATGGCCTTCACCATATTGGAGCCTTTGTCTGTGACATAAGTTATATCCTTGTCTTCCAGTTGATAGCCTCTCTCTCTCTCTCTCTCTCTCTCTCTCTCTCTCTCTCTCTTCCCCCCTCCCTCCCTCTCCCTCTACCTGTGCTCGGTGTGGGTCGCAGCGAGAGGGAGTGAGAGCGACGTGTTACAAACACCCCCACTCTCTCCACCCCCCCCCCCTTCCGCACTCCAC